TTTACGTGTGGACGAAAGGTGCAAACACATAGAAAAATCTGCGTTTTCAAAAATACCCGGGTACGTGTGGACGTAGCCTCAGAGCGTAACCTCTCCTCTGTTAGCAGGCGTGTACACCTGAACTGTCTCCTGATGTTCTCACCTTCACAGGAAGCTGATCGTCCTCTGCCGTCCTCCGTCGCTCCCCTAAACTCTCTGCAGACAAAGTTTTCTCTTCAGTAAATTATCTGCGCCAATCAAACTCGCTAGAATCTATGAAAACCTCCAACCGGTTGGAGACGTCCACTGTGACACCACCAACAGCTAATCGAGCACCACCATGTTGGCTTTTTTGGATCTCAACGTCCCGTTACGCATTGATAAAGAAATCACAGAAATAACCCTCATAGTGCCTACTTCCATCTTTTGAATACAGTCTACAGTTTTCCCAAGTGTCTGCATGCTGGCTGAGCTCACCTGCATGCTGCAGCGCCTCCTGCAGGCTCCTCTGAGTCTCTCTGAGCTGCTGCAGCACCTGCAGACTCTGCTGCACCGGGTCCCTGTAGCGCACACACACCACCAGCAGAACACACACTCCAACACACACCATGAATCGCCTCAACGCACTCACGTACACAGTGAGCAGCTCCTGAACGCAGGAAAGAGTGATGAATGTGTTAATGTGTGCATCAGGTCAAAGGTTAAAGCATCAGGTGAGCATACTGACCATGTGTTGGTGCTCAGGATTATCAGAGCTCAGCACAAACTGGTAGATCTTTCTCTCCAGGTAGAAATTCAAACACACTAAACTCAACAACACCAACCTAAACACACACACACACGTTATCAGTTACACGTTAAAACCCAGCTCTGTGCAAAGGCGGGGAAGGGAGGTGGCGTTACCTGGCTCTGGAGGAGCGTGGGGTGGAGGTGATGAGGAAGGAGGTGCAGAGGGCAGCGGCGTTGTAGCAGCAGGAGCTCAGGCTGTGAGTCTCCATCAGAAGGAAACTCTGCAAAAAGGAAACTCTGTTGAAGAGTTCGGACAGCGCCACCTGCTGCTCCCTCGAGGTGCTGCTGAGCTCTGAGAACACCGACCGCAGACCTGAGCAGGGGACAGGTGGAGAGAGGCGGAGGAAGTGAGTCTTTCAGGTGCTTGATACATTTCGAAGAGGTGACTGTGTGTCTCAGGCCATCAGTGTGCGTTTACCCTGCGTTGAGTCTCTGAGTGTGACTCTGAGCTCCTCGCCATTGGACAGGATCGCCTTCTGCGCCTGCAAGGCAGCACTCTGGGCCTCAATCAGCTCCTCAGCCATCAGCCTGGTGGACTGAAGCTGCTCGGCTACACCTGCCGAGCTCTCCGTCAGCCTGACACACACACATCTGTTACACACACACATGCACTTCCTCACCTCAGCACGATGTCATCTGTGCTTGCTCACCTGTAAATGGTGTTTTCTGCTTGGCGCTGCCAGGCCTCAGACTGCAGGAAGTGGCACATGGAGTGAGTGTGTGTGAAGAACTCTGTGTAGCTGTTAAACGCCACTGTGTCCATGCCAGCTGTACATCTGCTGACCTCTGACCCCTCAGGGCATGCTGGGAAATCCCTGCCTGAGCTGACAGATGGGCAGACACAGGTTATGGTTAAACTGAAGTATCTGCGAGGCAGCCATGATGACAGCTGGTTTAAACCTGTAAGGAAAGGTGACTC